GGGGGAATGGATTCGCCCGGGCAGGAGAAGCATTCTCTGAGTTTGTGTCCACCCTCTCCCCAGCCAAGTGACCCTCATACATCAAATTACATAGCAGTTTCCAAGACAGAACCTATTATCGCTAAGTTGGAAGGAAAGTTCAAGCCGTGGTCATGGAGATGAACGCTGGTTTTTCAGGTTTCTGGTGTGTTTTTTTCCCCCAATCCATCATGTTTTAACAGGTAGGATCTGGCTGATTCCACGAAAAGTTAGTGTCTTGAAAATAACTGCTGAAAAAAACAAACCAACGACCGCCCCTGCTGGCCTCTCTGGAGGGGCTCTGAGCGGCGCCGGGCGCAGTTGAGGCCGGACCCACTCGCGAGTGGGAGGCAGGCTCGGGGCTCGGCGGAACGGCCCAAGCCGCGCTCCAGGACCGAGAGGGAGCCGCTGCGGGCGGCGGGCGGGGCTCGCCCGGGCAGAAACCACTGCTGCCAGGGTGCGTGACCTGGGCGGCTCGGGGTGGTGTGCGGGCACGGAGGGGAGAAGCTGCTGGCTTCGTTTATTTTCCTATCGAGCATTTCATAGACAAGCCTAAATCCATCACTTGGGGTCGGGGTGTTTAAATATCCCTGCCTAGGAAACCTTTCCACCCTGCTCCTGCCCCCTGCCACACGTAGACGGGAACCATCTCTTATATTTCTTTGAAGTTGTATGAAGAGCCGTAACCAGGAGGGAAAGGCTAAAAATAAAGCGACGCTGGTTAAAGGAGAGGGTTTGATACTAGAGTTGGACTGAAGTAATAGCCCAGCCCCTTTGCATTACCGATTCCTCGATCACCCTTATCTCAGAGACCGGTATTAAAACAGCCTCTTGGTGATAAACCATCAACCCGCTTGCTCTGTTCCTTAAGAAGAAAGAAATAATAATAATAAAAAAACAAACCTAGAAAGCCTCTATCCCGGTGCAGCAAAGCACATATTTGTAGCTGCCAGTAAATCCAGGCAGCTTTTATATCGAAATGCTCCACGCCTGAGGCCAAGTCATGCTGCTAAATATTGCTGACCACTTTTTCTTTTATGGCTTTCATGTCACTTAGCTATTGAAAGTAAGATGGATTTGTACCATTTCTTCACCCTGCTCTGCTCTCCCCACACCCCAGGTCTGCCCGGAGAGGCCATTGGAGGAAGAGCGCCACGTGACAGAGGGGTGCCAATGTTATTCTCCAAGGGTGTCAAGACCCTGTCAGTTTGCGAAATAAATATTGGGAAACAACGAAATGCAAAAAGCGACCTACTACGACAGCTCTGCAATCTATGGTGCCTACCCCTACCAAGGAGCAAATGGTTTCACTTATAATGCGAGTCAGCAGCAATATCCTCCATCTTCATCACTTGTGGAAACTGAGTACCACCGCCCCGCGTGCTCCCTCCAGTCCCCTGGCAGCTCTGTGTCCCACCACAAGGCCAATGACATCAGTGAGAGTTGCATGAGGACCCTCCCCAGCCAGACTCTCCAGCCCCCCAGCCTCGCTGACCCACAGGCTCCACCGCAGCCACCTCCAGCCCAGCAGTCACAACCTCCACCTCCGACCTCCACCTCACCACCTCAAAATGCCAGCAGCAACCCTGCCCCGGCCAACCCCACCAAGAGCCCAGCTCTTAACTCACCCACCGTGTCCAAACAGATATTCCCATGGATGAAAGAGTCTCGGCAAAACACAAAGCAGAAAAACAGCAGTTCCAGTTCAGGTATGAAACATGCTCCCCCTCTCCCTGGGTATTCCTGGGCTGACTATGCATCCGGTGGGGAGGAGGGCTGTCTTACCCACCTTCACTTCAGGGAGGGGAGGGTGGGGGCTTTTTCACCCTCTGAGTTGACCCCATGAAACTTTTGGAAAGGGCTTGCCATCACTCAGCTTATTCACTGAGGGGAGCTCGGTGAAAAAAACACCCCATACAAAACTTTCCCAGCCTTGCAGAATGGATCTGAACTGACTTTGCTTCCTAGTGCCAGAACCACTTGTGCCCTCCAGCATCTATCACATTTCTTAGGTAATCCCCTCTTCAGTAAATCATGTCAGTGTGGAGCAGCCCAGGCCTTAAGCCAGAGGCTTGTCCCAAGTACTTTGTTGGCATGGTGCTGTTAGATTAATAAGACAGTGACCTATCTCTGCTGAAGTGTAACGGGAATAAAATAGCTCATAATCATGTGCAGGCAGGATCAATGCCCTGCATGCAGTCAGAACCTCTTCCTATTTTAATAAGCTGATTGGCAAAGTTACAAGCCTGGTAAACAAAAATCATTCAGGAGTGCTATAAACTTCAGCCCATAAAACATTATTTGAGGGATGGAAGTGTATATCAAGGCTTTTATTACTCAAGGAAACCCAAACTGATAACACCAGTGCTAGCTCCAAAGCCCAGAAGTCAGGCTTATTCTGATTTCTTCCTCTTCTTTGCTTAAATGTGCCTTAGAAATAGAGTTCAAAACTTTAACAAACGTTTTGCTGGTCTGCTTTTTAAAGCTGTGGTAACACTGCTGTTTTCAACCTTCCATATCATGTATTTATTTGATTAAAAAGCAGCAAAACTTAGATATATCTCTATGCTTATATGCAAGCCTAGCTACCGTGTGTTCTTCTTTATACATATTATACTTCCCAATCACTACCATATGTTCATGCTATATACCAGACATGATTAAAAAATCCACTACACTGATAATTCTATATTTATGTTAAAATTTTGTATTGTAGATATCTAGCTTTCAGGCATTTGTAGCTGATATATATATATATATATATATATATATATATATATATACATATATATATATGGAGAACAGCTATTTCTCGAAGACTCTGATCCCACTATGTCAGTAGAGCCACAGGTTCAGTTTCAGCACTTCTAAACCTCACTGTGTTTCCCTGAACCTTCCTTGCTCCTCTTTACCAAGCTCAAGATATGTTGGATGCTGTCATTCTTAGGGGAAGCAAGTGTAGTCATACAGTGACACTAATGAGGTCAAGGAACTCTTTCAAGGCTTGGAGCTTGGCACAACTGAGCTCATGCCTTGAGGGAGCACTGGCTGCACGCATGGGCATCCATCTTGCCTTTGGGAGCTGAAGTCTCCAGGTGCTGGTGTTGTTGGCCGTTTTCTCATGTTGCCGTGTGTAGGTTTGCCATGCTGACTGTGTTCTTTGTGTGATTTACATAGGTGAGAGTTGTGCTGGTGATAAAAGCCCTCCAGGGCAAGCCTCCTCTAAGCGAGCCCGTACAGCTTACACAAGTGCCCAGCTGGTAGAACTGGAAAAGGAGTTCCACTTCAATAGGTACCTTTGCAGGCCACGAAGGGTAGAAATGGCTAATTTGCTCAATCTCACAGAAAGACAGATCAAAATCTGGTTTCAAAACCGCAGAATGAAATACAAAAAGGATCAAAAGGGAAAGGGTATGATGACCTCTTCAGGAGGACAGTCCCCAAGCAGAAGCCCCGTCCCTCCAGCTGCTGGGGGATATCTAAACTCTATGCATTCTTTAGTAAACAGTGTCCCCTACGAACCCCAGTCGCCTCCACCATTTAACAAGCCTCATCAAAACACCTATGGCATCCCTGCATCGTATACTGCTCCTCTTAATAATTGCCCACCTCCTCAAAAGAGATACACGGGGACAGCAGCTGTGACACCTGAATATGATACTCATCCTCTTCAAGGCAACGGTTATGGGAATCCACACATACAGGGAAGCCCCGTCTATGTAGGGGGCAACTACGTGGAGACCATGACCAATTCTGGGCCTTCCATCTTTGGTCTAACTCATCTCCCTCATCCTCCCTCTGCCAACATGGACTACAGCGGGGCTGGGCCAATGGCCAACAATCACCACCATGGACCTTGTGATCCACATCCAACATACACAGACCTTACCGCTCACCATCCTTCTCAGGGAAGAATTCAGGAAGCGCCCAAACTCACTCATCTGTAAGAGACAGGAGTCACTAAGAGGAACAGCAAGCCCCCAAGTTTTGGAAAGTACTCATCCCTTCCCTTCTCTCTCCTCCCCCCAACATGTGCCCTCCCCTTCCCTTCTCGTTTCTTTTGTTCGTTTCGGTTTGTTTTGTTTCCTTTCGTAAAAGCGTTTTCTAGTTTATGTGACGTAGCAATATTTGTTGCTTGAATTGCTCTATAGTTTCACTAGTGGATATTTATCTTCTTGAACTGTAGCCTTGTGTCTCACTTTGGGAGTATGCAGAGGCTTTATACTTTACCTTCTACACTTTTATCAAAACAGGGTATATGAACAAATTTTCTATAAAAGGAATTCTTAAATGTGAATTTGTTCGTACATGATTGATCCCACGGGGAAGCAATTTTTTTTATTGCACTTCTTTTAAATAGCAAGAAAGACATCAAAAGCGCTTGGACAGGGACTTCCTGGACAATTATTGATACGTGTAAGTCTTTCAATGTGTGTATGCTGGTGAACATTCAGATTTATTTATATTTTTTTTTCGCAAACATTGAATAATCTAAGTGTTTAAAATTTTATTTATCCCCATTTGTTCATATTTATATATATATAAAAAAATCTGTACCCTGAATATTCAGGAGGCCATATATTAGATGGCATATCGGCACGTGTTAGAAATATCATTTGAAAGGAAACTATTAACTCCTTTTATTAAAAATAGTGATAATAATGATGATGACGATGCAATAAAATCTGGGAAAAAAGATCGCGGTTTGAATACTTTATGCTTGTAACATCCAGCCAGGCAAAAAGTGTGTGAAGCTGAAAAGGCTAGATTTGTTTTGAAAGTTATACATTCCTTGCTGCTCACGCTCTGGAAAAAAAAAAAAAATAAAGTTTTTATTCTGAATAATAAAGAGTTAAGGACATGTTCTTCGCAGCTCAGGGGAATGGAGAGCCCTTCATGACGTGGGGAGCTAGGAAACTCGTCTGTAAACTTACACGAGGGTCTGCTCACCCCAAGGGCCCCGCGATGCCTTTTCAGCATTTCATAGGCAGGGAGAGAGATTTTTCTTTTCCCTTCTCTCTCTCTCTCGCTTTTTTTTTTTTTTTTTTTTTTTTTTTTTTCATCCTTTCTTCCAGCAGGGTTTCAGGGCCCGCGGCCGCCGCCTCCTCCCGCACCCGCTGCGCGGTGCCCGGCGGGCGCGGATCGCCCCCTCCCCGCGGGGTCCGGGGGGGATCGGCCGCGGAGCAGCTCCGGGAGGACAGCCGGGGCTGTGGCTGTGGGTGTACGAGCGTGTGTGGGAAGCACAGGCGCCGGTGCTCAGGACACAGCCCCGCGTGGGTGCGGAGGGGCCTCCTGGTCGCCGGGCTGAGCCGGGCGGTGGCGGCTGCGGAGCCCGGCCAGCGCGGGGAGCGGGCTGGGACAGCAGCGTCCGGCCCAGCCGCGAACGCGCTGCGGGTGAATGCGCGCACTGCTGCTCCTTCCACTCGCTAACCCCGCCGTTTTCCCCTTTTCCTTGAAGAAGTGGATTTTACCTTTTCCTTTCCCTATTTTCCCCCCGAATTATTTTTTAAAAATATTTTACTGGGACTGATTTAATTTTTGCTGAGCCGCCTTTCCTCTCACGGCAGCCTGAAGGTGTGGGGGAGGGGAGCGTTGTGTTCCGTTTCTTCCCGCGGGGGGGTGTGGATGTGTGTGCGGGTGTGTGTTTGTGTCGGAGAGCGGCGGGGGGACACGGTACTGTAGAAGGGTGACGGTCCCTGCCCCCAGTGGGCACCCGTAGGCGTCCCCGGTCCGAATCGGCTCGAGGTGGAATGGAGAAACCCGCAAGCTTGTGCTTAAATCCGATTTTTTTTTTCCTTTCAGGCAAAATGTCCGTAATTTTTAGATTGAAACTTGAAAGATAAATCAAAACGGACCTTAATAGACTAGGTAAAATATACCCCTGCACGTTTATAAAGACATATTCCTATGCTGTGTAGATAATAACGCACGCTGTTCACCATCTGTATCTTTTAGAGCACAGAAAAAAAATGTCGCCATTTTGGTCTCATGCTGAAATATTATTAATCTTTGGGCTTTACCTTGTTCCCAGAACCATCCTTGCCTGATGCTGAAACATTGTCATGCATCCGTGAATCAATATAGAGCTTTTCTGCATAAATAGATAAAGCATGCCCAGTCAAAGAAAAGGATAGCAAATAGATTTATACCGTGCTGTTTATTGTATATATAGACATGTAACCGTGGAAGGAAAGGCTATGTAGGCTAATATTTTTCACTGAAATCTGATTATTACACAATACAGACCAGCGACTGATTATTACTTTTGTAGGCGAAGGAAGCATTTTTGCAACATTGCAAGACAATGCTCGTTTCAAAGGAGCGCCCTTATAAAATTCCAGCCGCCCCCCCCCCTCCAGCTCTCCGATCAGTTAGGTTAGATACAACAAAAGGTAACGGTACAGTCGCGATACTTACTTTATACTTACTTTAGCACCACGAATTGCATTTAGGAAAATGTTCAAATAGAAGGAAGTTGGCGTCTCACTCCCCTCCCACCCCGAAGAAAGAAAAATACAGGCGATTTCCCCCCCCTTCTTTCCATAAACCGTATTCAATCCTCTCTTCAGAGCCTGTGGGTTGCAAATAAGAATTTGTAATTTTGCATTTAAGATTCGTCCGATTAAAAGATGCCCCTGGAGGCAGAAGTAATTGATTCTCCCAAGAATTTCGCCTCCTCTCTGCAAAGGTTTTGTTCCAGGTGGTTTTTGTATTAGACTGACCACAAGAAACAAATGTGCAGAATAGAGACACCCACACAGGTTTTACTCACAAAGCCTGGTTAAAGTCCAAACCTCTCTCTTTATTATTTGTCATCCTGCTCTTAATCCCAATATTTTCCAGAGGGGGGAAAAAAAAATCAGAGAAAAGAAAAAAAACGTAGGCATCAAGAAGCAAAATAAAACCGGACTTTTCCCACAAGCAGCCCAGTCCTCTGCCAGCATATTTTAAAAGCAGCTTTTTTCCTTGTTTACTTGCGTTTCTTGCTCTGCCTCTTTTCACGGCCACATTTGATCTTGGAAAGAGCAAGAAGCTTTAAATGTGTTCTTAAGGGCCAGTAGCTGTCAAACCTTTTGGCGGCCAAGATTGATCGCGGGCAGACACCACCAGAGCTTTGTTTGGACTAAAAGCAAGAAAATTAAACCCCTTGCATTTTCCAGCAGCATCGATATTTGTAAGGCATCCCTTTTGAGGGATTAAATGACAAGTCTCGTTCTATATTTTATTTAAACAAGCAACCACCAAAAAGCCCATTTAAAGCCTCTCGGCCCCTCCCCTCCCCCTCTCTCCAATGCCTTCGCAGATATGCTATATCTTGTGGGTGCATTAACTTAAAACCGATTTTTAAAATGCACTTCGTGCAGACTGGACGCAGACTGATCCACTGAGTGCTTGGGTCTTGTTTTCTGTTTCCCCTCCCTCCACTCCCCCGTATTTTTTTTTTTTTTTTTTTTTTTAATATAATTACGAAGACAGTTGCCGACCCCTGTTTGGCAACTCCGAAAATAAAGCGAGACGGCACCTCATCGCGCTGGCGATGGTTTCTGGCTCCTGGAGGACGCGGAGAGCGGCTCGGAAGCGCCTTCCCCCGGCCCCCGGCGCACCCCACCCCGCCGTGCACCCCGGGCTCCGCGGGCAAGCAAGCCCCGTCCGGGCTGTCTAGGGCGGCTGTGACCGTAGGATTCATCGGGTTGGTGATTGTGGCCATCATTGTCATCACTCTCCCTGTCGCCTCAGTATGGTTGGAAAATTATGCCAAAAGCATCCAAATTCGGGACTTGCCTCGACCTGGCAGGGGTGACTGGAGGCGGCGGCGGCAAGAGCCAAGCATCGGAGGCGAGTGCCGTCTCTCAAGTCAGAACCCCGCAGCATTTTCGCTCTGTCTGGCCCCCTGAAAACAAACCCGCTACCAGCCCATATATTTCCTGGTAATCGAAAATACTCACCAGACCCAGCCTACTACGGTTATTAAGCAAATTATGCCAGCAGACGGGAGTATCGTTTGCAAGCTAAGGCACGGGATATATACTTTTTTTTTTTTTTTTTTTTTTTTTTTTTTTAAGAGGCAACAGCCAGACGCGTTTGCAGCCTAGAGATTTGGCTCGCCCAGAGAGGTTCTCCTAGAGTTATGTGTTACGGTCCAATCCCGGGAAGCCAACTGGAGAGGGAAGTCATGAAGCGCCAGGGCTGCTGCCTATGTGACTCTTCCCCTCGAAGCAAGGTTGCTGAGGAAGATCCTGATAAACAATGGCTCAGCACCGGCGACCGATTGTTCTCCATACTGTACACCCGATAGCTACCAAAAAAGAAGAAGAAAAAAATCAAACAAGAACACAAAGCCAAGCAAACAAACAAACAAACAAAAAATACAATGGAGCCCATTGAGGCTGGGTCGGGAAGGAGAAACTAGTTTTGGAGGAAGTGCTATTCCTAGGAAAAAATCAAGACCCTCTGCTTCAGACTCCTGCCTGGGTGCCACTTCTTATGCGGGGGCCTGACGGTGTCAAAACTTTGAAGATTAATGGATTACTTTGTTAATGACTCAAGGCGTCAGATTGAGGTGCTTAAATGATTTGTGAGGTGCAAAGCGTTTTCCTGACAGTCCCAAACAATGAGAGAAGAGTGTGCGGGTGGATGCGAGGAAGGCAGCAGGCTGCAGGACAAGCAGCCACACACACACACACACACACAGACACACACACACACACACACACGCACACTCTCGCAGCCTCTCTCAAACATATCCACGCACACGCACCCTCCTCCCCACCCCCGATCATTTCAGATTAGGACGCCAAGGGGATAGATACTCGAGATATCATTTCCCCTTTTAAAAAAAAAAAGTGTAAATAAAGCCTTTCTGGCCCCCAATGAGGCGTTCCTTCCCGACTTTTTTGGATCAATCAAACAGACAGTGGCTTCTTTTGATTAAAGCCCAAATTGTCATTGGGCAGAGGCAATCATGTGACAGCCAATTCGGTCCAATTTCAACCTTGTCTCCATGAATTCAATAGTTTAATAGTAGCACGGTCCCCATACGGCTGTAATCAGTGAATTAGAAAAAAAACACCCCACCAGCGATCTTCTATGCTATATTTTTTTTCTCCTCTCTCTCCTTTTTCCTGGGCCTTCCCCTCCCCCCGAGGCCCCTGAATCCGAGGGAACTTTTTCTCCGCGGGGGCTGCCAGTTGAAGGCCATGAATTTCGCATTTGAGCGAGAGATCGGTTTTATCAATAGCCAGCCATCGCTTGCTGAGTGCCTGACATCTTTTCCCCCTGTCGGTGATACATTTCAAAGTTCATCAATCAAGAACTCGACGCTTTCACACTCGACACTGATTCCTCCTCCTTTCGAGCAGACCATCCCCAGCCTGAACCCCGGCAGCCACCCTCGCCACAGCGGCGGCGGTCGCCCCAAGGCGAGCCCCCGCGGCCGCAGCGGCAGCCCGGGCCCCGCCGGCGCCCCGCCGCCCCCGGAGTACCCCTGGATGAAAGAGAAAAAGGCGTCCAAGCGATCCGCGCTGCCGCCCGCTTCGGCCTCCGCCTCAGCTGCTGGACCTGCCTGCCTCAGCCACAAAGGTCAGTCCAAAGACGTGCCGCCAGCCCCGCCGGGCCGCTATTTTGGCTCCCCGCATCCCCCCGGCTTCGCGGGGGGACGAGGCGGAGGTCGGGCGGGCGGGAAGGACGGAGCTGGAGGGGCTCGATGGAAACCCAAACTTTCCCCAAACTTGCCTAATGCGGGATGATTTATTTGAGTTGGAGCTGACCTCTCTTGTCTCGCCGTCCTAGAGTTAGGATATTTGACAGTAATGAAGAGTGATAGATTGCTCCCGCTCAGCTAAGCAGCTGATGCATTAATTATAAATTGCGGTATGGCTAATATAAAGTTTGCTCTGGTGTGGGGAGGTTGGGGAGCTGGAGGCAGCGATTTGGCGGAGGTGGCCGAGGGGCACGCAGCACCGGGCGCTCAGCAGTGCAACACAATGGGTTTACTGCATCCAAAGGCGGCCATTTTGTTGCAGTTGCTATTTTATGCTATATGGACATATAGATATAGACACATACATGCAGAGAGAGCACTCCCCCCCACCCCCCCGGGATGCGATGAGCTGGGGTGCTGAAATTCAATCCGTGCATTTATCTGTTTTGTATGTGTGTCCGTGTGCCTTTGCTTTGGCTCTTCGGGCGGTGATGCTTTGGGGTGCGTGTGGTGGTGGTGTTTTTCTTTTTTTTTTTTTTCTTTCTTTTTTTTAACAGACCCCCTTGAAATCCCCGATAGCGGTAGCGGTGGATCTAGGCGCCTGAGGACGGCTTACACCAACACCCAGCTTTTGGAGCTAGAGAAAGAATTTCATTTCAACAAGTATCTCTGTAGACCAAGGAGGGTTGAGATTGCAGCCTTGCTGGATCTGACTGAGAGACAAGTCAAAGTCTGGTTCCAGAACAGGAGGATGAAGCACAAGAGACAGACCCAGTGCAAGGAGAATCAAAACAGCGAGGGGAAATTTAAGAACCTAGAGGACCCCGAAAAAGCAGTGGACGAGGAAGAAGAGGAGGAGGAGGAGAAATCCCTCTTCGAGCAAGCCCTCAGCAACGTCTCCGGCGCTCTCCTGGAGCGGGAAGGCTACGCTTTCCAGCAGAATGCCCTCTCCCAGCAGCAGGCTCAGAATGCGCACAATGGCGAATCCCAAACTTTCCCCGTTTCGCCTTTAACGAGCAATGAGAAAAATCTGAAACATTTTCAACATCAGTCACCCACTGTTCAAAACTGCCTCTCAACAATGGCCCAGAACTGTGCAGCTGGCCTGAACAATGACAGTCCTGAGGCCCTAGATGTCCCTTCTTTACAGGACTTTAACGTTTTCTCCACAGATTCCTGCCTACAGCTTTCAGATGCAGTTTCGCCCAGTTTGCCAGGATCTCTGGACAGTCCCGTAGATATCTCTGCTGACAGTTTTGACTTTTTTACAGACACACTCACCACAATTGACTTGCAGCATCTGAATTACTAAGAAATTAAAGAAGTCCTCTCCCAGGGTCCTGCTTTCTCCTCCTTATTCTTCTTAATTTTTTCCCCCAGTGAATTAATTTTATGTTTCCCCTCCCTTTCCCTCTTCACTATTTTCTGTTTGTTACTTCCCTCTGATATGCCATTTTGCCGTTTCTTATGAAGTTTTAGTTGTGTTCAATTTTAACCTAGTCACATTCTAGGTCCTTCTATGAAAGCAATATATGAGGTCTGTAAGAAAGTGATCATATAGGAATGTATCTTCACTTTCTTTTTATTTTTGTATTACATTAGGATGCGTTGTCATAAGTATTTTTGGTAGAATAAATTCTTGTTTGCTACAAGGAGCTTTCTCTTTTTTCTTTTTCTTTCTCCTCTCTTTCTCTTTGCTTTTAAGATGGATAACACGACGGGTATCTCTCCCCATCCCTTCCACTATTATTTTACTAATAATCAAAATCCAACGTTCTGACAACAAGCTCTTCCCTTTTGGCAATTTAGGACACTTTAGAGAGGAAAATTCGTTCATTTTCTTTATTATAAGGATTCTCATAAGGGAAGGAAAAACAAACTAAAGAAATTACAACCGTTCACAGGTTTGATGGAGATTTGTTCCTTTTAATGTATAAATGTGGCATCTTATCTCTGTGAGGATACAAGCTTGGAAATCCTCAGCTGTAACAAAGGCATGAACGAAGACTTTCTCTGTTACAGGCAGAATGTAAGAGAGACACAGTAGGATAAGCGTCTCCTGCAGAAACCAGCCTGTTACATGAACGAAAGGAAAGGTGCTTTTTAAAAAAATAAAAATTAAAATAATCCTGGTTTTCTAGAAAGTAGTGCTTAGCAGCCAGCAAGATATTTCAGAAAACGTATCTTAAAAAATATCAGAGCTCACAAAGAATGTAGTTGGTTACTTCTCACGTGCTGAGTAATCCAAGAAATCAGCCCTAGGAGGAGAGGAAATAGAGAAGTTAGTGCCTGTAAAATCAAAAGGGCTGCAGAAATGCAGGGGGAAGAAAAAAAATATTTAGGGAGGAACTGGCCTCTCCATCCTTCTCGGGGGCGGTGCGGGGGCAGACCCGAACATATTTTTCTGTGTAAGCCTTCTTGAGAGGTGAAAGACAGATAAGGAAAAGGGGAAACTGACTTTAAAGTTACAATTTCCTCGGGCTCCCCGCTCTTCTGCTGGAGGCGGCATAGACGGGCTTTCAGGAATCTCCACCGAATTGCCTGCCACCCGGCGTTGCCGAGCCCCAAAGCGGAGGGTGAGCCCTGTCCTTCGGGCTAAAAGGGAGCAACAGATGCCAGCGGGGCTCTGCGGCTCCGGGACCGGGGCATCCCGGGCGGGGACGTTCGCGGCTCCTGGAGTGAGTGAGTGCGGGTGTCTGCATTACACAAGCGAGTGGGGCTTGGCTGGGGGGCTGAGAACGGGGCTCCGCTGTCCGTCCGTGCGAGCAGTGTCGTCTCCCAGCCCCGTAGCACGCTGTGGAGCTGGGATGCGTGGGTTATAGCTGGAAGGGCTGAACGCAATTCTTCCGAAAGTCATAAATCAAACTCTTTCTATGAATGAGAATGTCATCAAAGAGATCAATTGCAGGAACACATTCACAAATAAAAATCCTCTTACGTATTTGCCGAGGCTGGGGATCCCCGTCTAAAACCATTAAGTGAGAAGGCGTTTAGTCATAATTCACTTTTATTGCTCTTTTAAAACAACAGCTTGGCTGAGCTGCGGGCGCGGTGAAACCTCGGCCTCGGTTCTCCTCCTTCCCTCTGCTCCAGCCATGTCCCTGCGGAAAGCGAGCAGCCTCACCGGCATTTTCACTCCTCTGCCACTGGGTTAAATTGGACCGCAACGCTCATGTAAGGGTCGGGGTTTCTTTTGTGCCCAGATTTCCGGATGCTGACTACACTTAAAGAAAACCAAAGCAAAACGAACTAAAAAAACCCCCCACACAATAAAACAAAACCCCCCAAAAAAACCCCAAACAAAACCCAGAAACATAAAACAAAAAGAAAAGGAAAAGAAAAAGAAAGAGGAAACATTCTACAAGGTTTAAACTTCTCACAAACTCAATTTAAATAAATGGGGGGATTCAGCAAGCAGGAGCCGCCTCCGAGGCTCCGGGTGAACTCTGGGGCCACAGCGGGGGCACACTCCCACGGAAAAGCCTAAACAGCCGGGATCGCCCCCTCAGCCTCAGTTCCGTGGCAGGAAACGCGGGGCGAAGCCGCGGAGGGGCCGGGATGGCCTGAGGGCAGGGGGAAGGGGCAGTAGCTCCCCCTCGCCTGGCCGCGGAGGAGGGAGGGTGTGGTGTGTGTTCCTCCCATGCTCCGACCCTTCTCATGATGTTGCCCCCATGCTTAGTGCGGGCAGCAAAACCCGAGAGCCCCGCCAGAGAGACAATGCAACAAGAGACAATGGCACCAAAAAGGCAGAGAAAAAAGGATTTCAGGATGCTGGAGACTGTAAGAAAAGTGATTCATCGGAATTTACGGGTAAAAGGGATCTACTTGTAGTAATTTTTTTTTCTTGGCTGAAGGAAAAAGCACTGAGAAGATGTCAGCCCTTTTACTAGTAAGTAGTCCTAATCGCTGTCTCTTTTCTCTGCTTTATGCAGTATTTATCACAACTGGTTTACAAGAATGAAATAAATGTGTTTACAGCTATAACCATAACCAAAATTGGCGCAGTATAATATCATAAATGCCTCTGGAGTGTTGTTGCTCTTGTCCTCCACTCCGCCCCCCTGCAGTTTAAGAAACTGAACCTTTCCAGAGGGCCCTTAACCATCGTTGCCTCTGTAGTAAATCAGAACAAATAGACATACTGAGGGCACCGGGGTAGACGCGTGGTGGAGAGAGGTGCCCTTGGGTTTTGGCTGGCAGTAGAGTGGCCGTGCAGATGCCGTGGGATAAGGGCTGACCCAACAGCTGTGGGAAGGAGAGCTTTGCACCTAGAGTTGTTGTGTTGTAGTTCGTGTGGGAGGGAGAGCTTTGCACCTAGAGTTGTTGTGCTGTAGTTCGTGTGGGAGGGAGGAGCTTGAGGGTGTGTATGTGGGTGTGTGAGTGTGTATTCGTGAGCGGGGAGTGGTGGCGGGGTGGAAGAGCCTTTTGGATTTCAAAACAAGCAAGGATCGAGCGTGAGAACAGAGGGACTTAAGAGTCGGCACCTGCAGAAATAGAGGGGGTAGCCCCTCCTGGGGCTAGTGTCAGGGGACATGACGTTCCATCCATCTTTCTCCGAGGCTGACGCTTCGCAGAACTGCTTTTGAAGACTTTTGGTCCCGTCCTTTCTGCCTGCAGACGGCTGGGTGCGCTGGGACAGACGGATGCCCGGCCTTTACCGCCCCTTTCCCTTTCCGCATACGTAAACCGCACATGAGGTCGTAACCCATATCTCACCACCATCCCTCCTTCTCTGGCCACGGACCCATCTCTTGACCCACCTCCCCACGGTGCTGGGGAGGGGTGGGTTGGAGCCGATGCTCAGCGCGGTTCCCGAGGGTCCTGGGGCCGCCTCTGCCACTGGCCGTCTGCCGCCTCTCCCTACTGCCGACCCGGGTGGTGGAGCGCAGGGACAAAGGGGCCGGGCTGTGGGCCCTGCGCCTTCCTCCTCTCCTCTGCCCCTGTCCCGGGTCGCCTCCTCGGGCTGCGACCCGCGACACCCCGGACAGCCGTCCCCCCACCCTGTCCCAAGGCGGACGGGCGGCAGCGGCGATGCGGGAGCACAGCAGATGGGCTGCGGAGCCCCCGGGCCCCCGTCCAATCATTCGTCCTCCTGCCCCCGGCTCCTCCTTCCCTACCCCAACCCTAGGCTGGCGAGGGTGAGCCCGGCGGAGGTGCGGGGGGAGCAGGGATGAGGGCCAGAAGGTGGCCGGTGAGCCTGGGAGAGCACAATGGCCGTCAGTCCCAAAAGCGCCTCATTTCCATGCTAATGTCCGCGGCCGCCTGGTGATGCGGCTGGACAAGCCCCTTTAACTCTTGGCGTGGCGTCGCGCTGGGACTGCGGCGGGGCTGGACCGGCGAGACCCCTCGGCACCGGCACTGTTACGGTCTCCACCTCCACCCGCATCCCATCCACATCCGTATCCTCCGTCCCATGCCTATTCTCTACCTTATCCTCACCCTCATTCCTGTCCTTATCTTAATTCCCAGCCCGGTAGAAGTCCCCAGCCACATCCACGGTTCCATTCTCATTCTCGTCCCAAGGGCTGATGTTCTCAGCACTGTCTCTGCCTCTCTCCGCCCCATCCCTCGCCCCATGCCGTGGATCTAGTCGCGTCCCCTAGCCACCCCCACCCCGCGCCGCTGCCCTTGGTGCGCAGCAGAGGTGCCCGGTGCAAGCTTGACAGCGCCGACAGCAGGGTGACGCTGGGGCGCCCTGGCAGCAGCACTCACCCTGCAGGGGACGGCCGGTGGGCTCCGCGGGCCGGGCGCAGCCTCCAGGTCTCTCCTGCCTTCCTCTCTCAGCTGGCGGACGAGACCCAGGGGGCTGTCGCGGTGGGGGTGTGTGTGTACGGCCCGGCCCGGCCCGCCCCCACCCCCTGGGGGCCACCGCCACCGCCTCCCTGGCCCGCGGTGCCGCGCGGTCGGAGCGCTCGGCGTTTAAATGCCCCCGACGCGGCGCTGCATCAGTGACAGGAGCCGGGGAAGCCCCGCGGGCCCCGCAGCCATTGGCTGCCGCCCCCCACGTGCCTGCCCGCTGCCGGCGCCTTCGTGTCATTTTCCTGCCGGCCCCATGGAGGAAGTGGGAAAGTTGGCGCGGCCCCGCCGGACGCTGAAGACCCGGTGGCGGCGTGACAGAAGGACGCGGCGAGGATGAGCTCCTTCCTCGAGTACCCCGTCCTCGGCGGCGAGGCGGGGGGCTGCGCCGCCCGCGCCTACCACCCCGACCACGGGATTACAACTTTCCAGCCCTGCGCCGTCAGCGCCGGCAGCTGCAGCGGAGAGGACCGCTTCCTGGCGGGCCGCGGGGTGCCCATCAGCCCCCACCGCCACCACCACCACAGCCCGGCCCAGCCCGCCGCCTACCAGCACCACGGCGGGCTGGGGGTGTCCTACGCGCACCCCGGCTGCGGCCCGACCTACAGCGCGCAGGGCTTCGGAGCGGCGTACGGCCCCTACCCCCTGGGGCAGGACGCGGAGCTGGGCGGCGGCTTCCCTCCTTGTGCCCCCGCCGTGTACTCGGGGAGCATCTCCTCCTCCGCCGCTGCGCAGCACCCGCTGCCGCACCAGGGCTACGCGGGGGCCTCCGCTCAGTACGTGCCTCCCCCTTACGGGCAGGAGCAGCAGAGCCTGCCCCTGGGCACCTACAACCATGCCCTGTCTCCCCTCCACGCTGGCCACCGGGAAAACGCCTGCTCCCCCTCCAGCGAGACCTCGCCGCCGGCGCAAACCTTCGACTGGATGAAAGTGAAAAGAAACCCACCCAAAACAGGTCAGTGGCCGGCGGGAGGGCCGGGGCGGGGGCCGCTCCTCTCTCTCTCCGCCGAGGGTACGGGGAAAGAGGCGCGGTATCCCGCGGGGCTCTGGGCAGGTAGGTCGGCCCGCATCTCTGGGAGCAGTCGCGGCTGCCTGCCGGCGGAGCTGAAAACCAGTGCCGCTTATTCCTCACTTGTTCCTGACTCCCCCTTCTCCTCCTCTCCCGTGGTCATATTTCTGGTAATTCATAAACCACTTATCAAGTTTGCTCTGACACTAGAGGCTGACTCCGGTTTAGCACCTCGCACTCCATCACTCACCCTGCCGGGGTTTCCCTCTTATCCTAAGAAGTTCTTGCTCCCTATCGCTTAGCCGGTGTGGACATATTGATTACATCGCCTATAAATCATTTGCGCTCACTTACTTACCGCTGAATGTCCCCTCGCAGGCAAGGCTGGCGAGTACGGCTTCGTGGGGCAGCCCAACACCGTCAGAACTAACTTCACCACCAAGCAGCTCACCGAGCTGGAGAAGGAGTTTCATTTCAACAAATACCTGACCAGGGCCAGGCGGGTGGAGATCGCCGCCTCCCTCCAGCTCAACGAGACGCAGGTGAAGATCTGGTTCCAGAACCGGCGAATGAAGCAAAAGAAACGGGAGAAAGAGGGGCTGCTGCCCATCTCCCCCGCCACCCCCACGGGCTGCGAGGAGAAGGCGGAGGACTCGTCGGAGAAGTCCTGCTCCTCGCCCTGCAGCGCCTCGCCCGCCTCCTCCGCCTCGGACACGCTCGCTGCTTCCAACTGAGACCGGCCGCGCCCCGACGGCCCCGGCGCGACGTCCCCGCCAGAGCGGCACGCGTCCGTCCAGCGCCGTGATGTCGGTCCCTCGGTCGGTCGCTCGGTCGGTATCCCCGGGAGAGGTCTCGGCGAGCTGCCGCTCCCTCCCCCGCTACCTCCGCCGCCGTCCGGCCCCGGGGGTGCCGGCTCCGCCGGGTCCCGGCGCCTTAGTGCCAGGGAAATTTTCTTCCCTGCCCCCCCTCCTTTTTTGTTGGTGGAGCTGTGTTGGCATACGCGTAAGGGTCTCCCTCCTCCACGGCGAGGATGCTCCACGGAGCTTCCCTGAGTGAAAGACAGGTTATTTAGGGTCAATAACCTCACAAAGAGATGCACTATTGCAAGTGTTTACACGACTTATAGGACTTTCATCCCCTTAATTTAATGTATTCTTTGTTCGTGTCAATGAGTTTGTTGCTTGTAAATACTTTGTCCGAGAGATTTATCTTTTTACAGATTTTTCTAGAATGATGTTTCGATTATCAGGTTAAGCAGGGTGAGTGCATTCGCCAAACTGGATCCATTTTTATATTGGTGAAGTAGACGACAGTATCAAGTAAACGTCTTAAGCTCAAGCAGATACCTCAAAAAAGTAGCGCTATTTCTTTAAATGTGACAAACAAGGCTTCAATTGCACTAGGTTTTTTAAACCTTGCCCTGTGTGCTTGCTCCCTCTCCTTTTCCCCCTGCCCCAAAAGCTGTGTTGGATTATGTGCAGCAGAAGGGTACAACCATCCAAATGACCTCGCCTCTTCCTATTTTCATATTAACCTTCCTTTAGACTCGATGTCTGTTCAAACTTCTCGTGAATGTGACAAATGGCCAAATGAATGTATAATTTCTGTGGTTGGTGTCCAGACCTTTGCATGACGCACCGTGCTTTGCTGTACTGCGGGTACACTGAGTTCTATCAGTTGTCGTGTGTGAGCAAAATGTCCTCCTGATTTTTCTGTACAATCATGAAAGGCTCTGTGATTCCACCAGTGGTGGAGTCCAGAGCAGGATTTACGGGTCCTTATAATGTCTGTAATAAATATATTCCACTTTCAGGTAGCCCTCGTCTGCCTACCTCTGCGTGACGTCAGCGCTGAGTCACAGCCTGGGCTCAGCACTTTGGTTTCCCTTCTTTTCTTCTACTGGGGTCTTTCCAAGGGGGAAAGGGAGTAAGAGTCTCACAACCCCTCCTATGTTGTTTTGTCAGAGTCAGAGCTCTGGCTGCCCAATCTGACTTCCTACACGAAATTTCTTCCTCTCCTATGCTCAAATAATATTATTTTTAGACAATATAAGGCTCTTCTCTCCATTTTCTGTAACTGGGAGGAATTTATGATCCCAATCTAATTCTGAAGCACAAACAGGAGAACTTCCTGGGTCAAGTGCTAACCTTTTCACCTCGGGATGGATGCTGACACTTAAATAAACAGAGCACCCTTCAAAAGCAGAAACTCTCTTTAACCAGTATTTCCTCACACTGTAGGCCCCTCTCCAAGGACCGCACATTTAATTAGCCTGGGCACTAAGCTTGTCCTGCTTCCCTCTCCCACCCCAAGCTGTTGTCCCCAGCGCTTGATGGGGTGCCAAAGTGGGAGATCGTTCCCAGTGTGTTTTTGGTGTTCACCCCAGCCCATTCCACCGTCCCTTCCCCTCTTTCTCCGGCCCAGTCCCCGTCCCGTCCCTCCCTCCCCCTCACCCCGGTACAAAATAAAGCTCTTGCAGGTAAATATAATATCTGTTCCAAGAAATGTCAAGTGAACAGCAGGTGGGGAAGGGAGAGGAGCCTCTGTGAGGAGAACCTGGGTGGCAGGACACAGCAGAGGCATGCTCAGCTGGACGGGGGATGTCTCGAGTCACTGATGCCTCTTGAATTACAAGGCAAACACGCCTAACATCTCCTTCACCCGGCCCAGCTGCGGGAAGTGCTACCGGGCTTCTCCTGGGGCAGGTCTGCCCACGCAGGCTTCTCTTTGCGGGATCCGCAGAGAGTCAACGAAATTTTCTTCACTTCGGTGTCAAAAGAGACAAGTCCTGATTTGCAAGGCGCGGCGGCCATATCAAGAGCCGAGCTATCTGCAAGGGAGAAGGGCTGTCTCCAAAGGCTCCCGCCGATGCCTCTATTTCTTTCATTTCCCCGCCTGCCATATACTTTACCTTTTGTTTATTAGTGTAAAGCCACAAAGCAAAACAGATGGCCTTCTTCCAGAGTCTTGGATGTGTTAAAGTGGCATTTACATGCCAATGAGGGCATTTCAATATCGAAATCTGGATCTAAACATTGCTGGAATCCGGATCTACAACTCGATTCCACCGGTGTTGACTCAATGTGTTAGAAAGAGCGGCCATAAATTACAGCCTAAATACGAGAGACAAGACTCTTGCCAGTGCGTCAATCTGAGATTCGCGATTCGCGGGCAAAGAATCCCATCTCCTTCCAACACCAAACCCCATATACATACATACATACATACATACATACATATATATATATATATAATATACACACACGTGTATATATATATATATATATGTATATATATATATATACACCTCCCCCTGCCCCCCCGCAGTAATAGTATATTTCAAGCAAAGACGCTCCCAATCTCCCGATCCTATCTCATTTTGTTAGCGTTAATACTATTTCGATACCATCAACCTTCGGGTTCAGGGGTGCGGTGAAGAAAAATTAAAATCTCTAGTTTATAATTTCTACCACAAAAATAAACCCCCCTACAAAACGCTTTCAATGAAGGCACTAATTTACCTTCAGGTAGTAAGGTTTTATTTTTTTTAACACATTTTAAAATAAAAAAAAATCTCTAGAATCTCAGGGTGAAAAAATGAAGAAAAAAACCCGCATCTCATCAAAATCCGTCAACACAAATCGCATTCAAATGTCAAACGGAGTTTAGTATCTTCCTATCATACTTAAGGCCATTTCTGCTGTTCACCTTTAAAGTTTACTTTTGGAGGCTATTGAGATGCTTTGGTGTTTTCCTCTGGGGCAATCAGATTGAAACCGATCAATATTTACTCAGTCTGAAAGGGCTGTTGAAAAGGCAGCTAACAACAAACTGCTTAGCTGCTCTCCCCTCTTTAATCTCAGGTTCACCGAAAGTTCAAGCAGAAATGAATTCGGTGATGGGTCACTTTAGAATAAATCCCAGTAGTTAATCTCACAGCCTTGATAAAGGCAACAATTACAGAGTCATCCCTCTCCCTCTCTCTCTCCCTCTGTCTCCCCAGCAGAGGCAACTTTCCTCTCACTTTTGCCCAGAATATTTTTACTAAATTTTAACAGCTTTCCGTTGTTTTGCGGAGACAGCAAACACTCGGCATCTTCCCCGCGCTGCATCCGACGCTCAGGCG